GTGGTGCCGCGCGGTGCATCCTCGGAGTGTGAGGTGTGCATGTGCTTTTTTCTACGCGCCAGTGGGCGACTTCTGGGAGGGTGAGTTCCGGTGGCACCCCATGGACGTAGACGGCGAGCCTGACATCCTGGAGGTGCAGCTCTGCGAGCTTCCACGCGCTAAGCTCTTGTAAGTGAATGAAGGCCTGCTCCAAGCCGTCACGTCCACCTCTTGCCTGAAAAAGATACCAAAGATGAGACCAGTTTCTATCATTGGTTTGGCAAAGTGTCTTGCCCCACCCCTCGCAAAAGTAGCTGTGCTATATACATGGGCTTGGGCAACAAAAGGCCACGAGACATGACAGTGTCAGACTGAGGCAGCAAAGGGATCTCCCAACAGCCCCTACAACTCCCCCCCTAAAAATCAAACCCAAAATCAATAGAAAAATCAAAACCAAAATCAATAACAAAATCAATAAACATATCAATCAAACACACACATATATTCAAACAGAGACTTTACTTCCAAATCAAAAAATCAATAGGCAAAATCAGTTGAAAAAACCTAGGAGAATATTGATTGTAATCACCGGCATTTTAAATCATCTACGCTGATGCCCACGATCGCCACAACCACATCGCCGGCATCAATGAACACCTTCGCCTCAGCGCGGCAGCTGACCCATTTTTCATTGATACACCTGCGCACTGCGGCCCACGTCCATCAGAGCTCGAGCCTTTGCTTTGCATCCACGAAATGCGGCACCCAGCACAGACTCCTCGGCCCCACACCCCGCTGCACCTGCCGCAGTGCGTGTTGAGCCGCCAGGTTCAAGACCGCTGCATCCGCTATACCATGTTCAAGACCGGGCAGAGGCAGGGGTCCAGATTCTGAAAGAAGGGTTCACTCAACAGGGCAGCTTTCATTCGCCCAGTCCGTGCTAAAACGTCATTCAATGCGAACGGCCTGTGTGGACACAGGCGCGGCGAACAAAAGGCCTTTGGACACAGATGTGGTGAAGGATCTGCGGCCACAATCGAAAAGGTTCAATGCCTTCTCTGTGCTTGATCTCTTTCATATTCCAACTCATGGGTCGCAATCCTCATAGTCTTAATCGACCTCTTTTTTAGTCGAATGCAGCTGCGAAGCGCCTCCTTGCTCTCCTTCCTCTTTCGCTTCGGCTTCTTTCCCTTCTTGCGGTCCACAACAAAGTGGCCCGTTGGTCTCAAAGTCTGCACATTCAAATTCACACCACCCCGCCCTGCCAGTGCGTTTCGCAACAAAAGCACTTCCAAAAAGTTGTTTGGGGCGCCAAGCACGCCAAGGACCGCCACCAGGCACATTTGAAGTACAACCCTTCCGACCTTCCCAAAAAGCAGACTTCACACGCCAAAACGCAAGGATTCGACCGCGCCTGCCGTGAGAAGTCGCCACCATCTTTGAAAATGCGCACGGCACCACAACGAGAGCGCAGGACTCGAGCAATGCGCACCCTCTTGTGGCGGTTGCTTGTGCCAGGCTGCGAAGTTGAAATACATTTTACAGTATTTGAAGATCTCGAGAGGCATAAATGTGCTGTAACTGCAACTGGCAGCGAATGATATACCCACCTTAACACCTGCCGTAACAACCCCTAATCTGGTCACAGTGTTTGGGGAATCAACTGCAAACCAAACAACGCTGTCCTATCGTTCAAGTATGTCCACCAATGACCCGACCCCGCCGCACCCGCACCGCAACCCGATCGCGACGTCTCCAGTCCTTAGCCGCTTCGTCGGCCCAGAGTGCCGCCTGCTGCTGCACCAGATGCTCTGCCAGCACCTTGCGCGCCTCACTGGGCAGCTGCCGCGCAAGCTGGGCGTTGCGGAACAGAGGCTCCTCTGGTGAAGTGGGATGAAGTAGGTCTGGCTGCTCTTGATGCGTCTTGAAACCACGAAGGATAGGGGACTTTTGAAGTTCGGATGTGTCTCCTGAGCCTTTTCTAGCGACAAAAGTCGCGTTTGTCGCTGGTCGCTTCAAAGCAAGACATGTAGGCATCTGCCAATGTACCTCCCCCAATGCATGTGTCCAACATACGAAGCCGAACCTATGCCCAAAGCCCGGGATCCATGAAAGCACTGCTTCACACTCTCCAGGCAGCCTTTTCGGTGTGGAGTTCAACTCTCCCAGCTGCTTCGGGGGAGATGTTGAGAGTAAGGACCTCGGTACCTCAGTACTCAGTCAGTGAGTAGATCATGGGAAGCAATCAAAACCAATGCGAAACCCAGGGACCTCTCAAGTACAGCTCGGTGTGGAAAAGCTTCATGGCCACTGTCCCCCACCATCCCTCTCATTCTTCTCCGTGCTTGACTGCTTCTATCCTCTCTGAGGTCGATGATGAAGAGCCGATGAAAGCTGCAATACCTTGGGCCGTGGACTCAGATGTTTCAGACCATCCCTTGGGCCGGTCTAATCGTGGATCCCAGGAGCTGGCTGGCCAAGCCGCTGACGTGCGGCTTGTCCTTTTGATTGAGCGACACGTAGAGCGCCCCAAAGGCAGGTACACCTACTAGATGGAAGGCCTGCCTCACGTCATTACAATTACAAGCAATGAAAAAGATCGAAGCGACTTGCAGGCTCTGTGCAGCCTGCAAGCTGCCTGCAAGTCAAATCTGCAAACTCATGCTATGCACACCCCAACAAGAACCCCAAAGAAAAACACGAAAGCAGGTCAGCACTATCTGATACAAAAAACATCCTATAACCTGTATCCACATGCTGAGTCGATGACACGCCCTTCCCTCACTCTTCCCTGTCCGTTTTGAGGTATGGCTTCCACAAGCAGGCATGATTCTCCAGCAGCCCGACGAATCTCTGACGGCCCGACGTGTCTGAAGATAAAGGCTGTTTGAACAAAAGCCTCCTGGACGCCTGGAGAACCCAACGTCTGTCACCTCCCTCACAAAGCCGGAGCGGGCCCGCACCTCTAATGGAAAGGGTTTCTGACTTCCGACGCCTGGAAGCGTCCGAAGCCCGAAACGCCATGGAAAGGGCCCTAAACACAGATCTGAAATGGGCTGAAGAAATGATGCCAAGGGGCTCTGAGATGAGTTGCTTCCAAAGCTCCAGCTGTTTGGCCCTCACCGAGGCATGCGGTTGTAAAGTGAAGAACGGAGGCAGCTGGTAGAAGGCCGGATATTGGAAGTCTTTGCCATCCTCAGCTGCTAAACTGGCTCCACTTGCTTTTGAAAGGTGTTTGGAGGATTTGGGAGGCATTTGTTTGCCCATCCACCTGGAAAGCTGCCACGAATCCAAAGCTCCAAAGAGGAGACATGTGCGACAAACGTGCACCGGATCGCGCGTTTCAACCACCAAATCTGCCGAGGCACGGCCATTCACCGCTCGCCCCCGGGAGCGATTCGGCGATCGAAGTCACGGGCGCAGCATGTGAGGCTGGGGAGCCGGCATATGCGGCATGACTCGGCATGACGTCACGGACACCTGCACAAATGGAGTCCAAAGAGCCAGGCACTCCTCCTTCATGGAGGCCGTGAGTTGACCGATCTATTCTACCTATGTCTGCCGTGCCAACAGGCAGACAAACGAAGCGGGGGATGAAACAGTCTCGAATGCACGATCCTTGGCGCAGTTCCTGGGCTTTTGGCATCTTCTGGGCTCCTTCCAGCCGTCCGCCCCAGATTCGTCCCTTGTATGGGGCCGACTAGTCCCTGGTCTGTGTCCAACGATTCCTGGAGCTTCCCCCCAAAAAAAGAAACGAGCTCCGGGGGGGGTGTTCATGTCAAACCGACTAAGGAAGCCAATGATTGGCTCCCAAAAACCAGATGTTCGGGGCCGAAGATCCAAGGGTTTGCTTCAAAAACCGCTTTGGTGTGGGGTCACTGTGCGACATAGCAACACCTCTGTACTATTAATTATAAGATAGCACATAATCATAATAATCGTTCAAGTACATTGCGGCACATGTTTTTGGTCACTTTTGGTACATCGTTTCTAAAGTTTGCCCCACACCCTCCGCAGGCGATCTCCATGCAACGGGACGGGGCTCGTTCAACGCGTGGAATCCCAACGCGTTCGCCGCGTTTTCCGCCGCGCCGCCGGTCCGGCGTTGCGAAGGCCTTTTCCGTCGTGGCCTTCTTGGCCCGACGGAGTGAGACGTCCGCGAGGTGAAGGCGAGGTGAAGGCGTCCTATGCGAATATAAAGCTTTAACATGGTAGGTAGGTAAGCTGTAAAATCAGGCGTAACAAATTGCCGTGAAGGGTTCTGCGCAACCCTACGCACGTCTTGAAGCAATATTGCGGTGGAGTTCTATTGAGCGCGCACAAAGCAGCAGCAAGCAAGATCCGCAACAGCAGAAGCCGCAACCAACAGCAGCAGCAAAGCAGCAGCGACGGGCGAGCAGCAGCAGCAGCAGTAGCACCACGCAGCAGCAGCGCAGCGCTAAGCTGCACCGCGAGGAAATCTGCACACTAATCTGCACTTATTTCACAACACCGCGCGCCTGCCACGAATCTGATAACCCCTACCACGAAATCAGAGCCTTGGAGGCCAGTGGGACACCATGGGTTTGAATCCCAAGCGGCTATTTGTCTTACAACAGCAGCACCAGCACCAGCAACGCAGCAGCGACTAGCAAGCAGCAGCAGCAACACCACGCAGCAGCAAGCTGCACCACCAGGAAATCTGCATTGACTTCACAACGCCACGCAACCTGCAACGAATCTGCGAGGGACTCCACCTACCACGAAATCAGCACTTATGCCACAAGCAATATGTAGCAAAGCAGCAAAGCATCGTCTTGATATATAGCAGAATTCCAGCATTCGGTGGGTCAGAACCCGAACGTTCGACTATCCCAGTTCGGTAATGCAGGTAGCTCGGGTCCTAGTTCAGGTCACTGGCTACCCCTGTAGGAACGTCTTGAATCACTGAAGAACTCGTTCTTCTCCGGACACTTCGCCACGTGCCGCACCACGTGCCGAGCCGTGCCAAGAGCCCGCCGAGCCGACCTGAAGGGCATGGAGTGCTGCAAGGGCGAAGGAGCGGCCCACCTACATGTTCGGCAGCTTCCACCTTTTCATGGTGATGTCAATAAGTGAATTCGCCACTACCATGGAACAGCAGCCTCTCTTGAAGTTTGCCCAAGGCAAGTTTGACAGCTGAGCGAAGGGTCTTCCAGAGCTCCCCGCCCCCGCTCGGCGGCTGAATCAGATGAAAGAGATTCTGCAGCTGGTGGCGGGTGAGTGGTCGAGAAACATACGTTCTTTTGCTTTCCTCTGCATAGTGCGGACCGGTGGCTTCGGACGGAACTGTTCTTCTAGGGGTCTTACACAAGGGTTGGAATCCCAAACACTCCATGTACAGTATGCCATATATGCCGCCCAATTGACCCCTCTGGCACCACCCCTGGCCGTTTCTCGGCAGTCACTGGCAGTCCCAAACACGTTAGACCCCTCCATGGGACTGCCAGGACGGACTGCCGATCAGGCCAGGGGTGGTGCCAGAGCGGCAAGAGGTACAAGAGAACAAACATAATATCATCCGTTCTATCATTAAAAGCTATATGAGATTGAAAAGGAAAAATGATCTCTTATTTATTCTATCTTGCTATTTTCTTTGTTGCAATCTCTTCAATGAAGTAGGAACCTCCCAGATTAAATAGCAAAATAGAGTAAGATAATAAAAAATAGAAGAGATAGATGGACAAATGTGGGAGGTCAGTTATTTTATCTTATATTTCATTACTAAGATATTTCTATTTTATTTTGTATTATTGCTTTATTCTAGCATTTTTATCCACAGCGTTTATTGTGCTCATTTATCCTAAAGTTTTAATGAGGTTTATCGATATCTTACATTTAATTGATTTTACATGAGGGAGTGCTCCTAAAGGAATAAAAGGAAATGGAAATGAAATTCAATCTCTGTCATACATCTTTTGTATTGCTTATTCCCTTGGGATCCACTAAATGGAATGGAGACTACAATGAATAACATATCATCCACAATGAATAAATATACATGAAAGCCTAGCAATATAATCCCCATCTTTTATGTTTCGTGTCTTAATGAAATTGAATAAGAAGTCCCAGCTCATTTGGTGATTACTTGGTAGATCCAAAAAGCATAAGTTGTTAATACGAGATCATGTATGTACACTCTCTCTCTCTGTGTATCATTCACATTTAATACTTATTGGTATTATTCTTACCTTTTCACCAATGCATTTCTTGGGATTTAATGTAATGCCAAGAAGAATCCCATCCTTTCCAGATTCTTTTCATTCCTGGAATTCCCTGTCATCTATTGGATCAGGAATAACTTTCCTATCTTTCATTATATGGTTCATAGATAATCCTATATTTAATAATAGATGAGATTGCTAAGATTGTAATGATTCCATACATGGAGTGTATGGGATACTCCAAGCGTCATGAATCCGAAGGACACCACTAGTGACTAGTGGTCACTACTGCACCATCTACGTTTGTCAGCTTTCCAAACATGGCTGTGAGCACTGCTGATGGGCTTTGGGGCTTCCGGGCTTCGGGTGGCTGTTCCCGCCGGCGCTCAGCCATCTTCCGACGCCGACGCCTCTGCCACAGCATCAGTGATTGTGTCCTGCCAGCGAGGCGTCTGGCTCAACCACAACTGCTGAGGAGCAACCCTACACAGCTCATACCCTACACAGCTCATGTCCGCCCTACATGTCCTTGTTCATTCTATAGAGCTTACAGCATATCTAGCACTACTTTTCCCGCCCCAACCCACTTCCTTCCAAAGCCCCACATGGGCTCCAGGTGCTTTGGAACTGCCTCTCCCAAGAGTCCTCGTCCGTGGTCACGTAGTGCTGATCCAACAAGTCCAGACCCTTGACCTTTTGACCTCAAAGAGCGGAGTCCCCGCCTCGTGTTCCAAAAAGAATCGAGACGAGTTGTGGAATCTCGAGAGGTTCAACATAGACTCAATTGACCCAATGAATCCCATCAAGATGATGACTCATAGACTATAGCATACTATAGCCCTATGATCCATATACAGGTCGTGGTGGAACACCGCCAAGAGCCGTGGGCTGTGTGCTCTTGTCCACACGGAAGGCTTCGACGCTTCAACCCAGCGGGCCGCGGGAGACCCAAGGAGAGCGGACCTCGCATCTGCGTCGGCGACACGGCGTCGGCGGACAAGCACAACACGCACAACACACGCAGCTTTCGTCCCAGAAGCAGAACAAGCCCCCCGTGGTTTCGTACAGGACATGCCCCGTGGTTTCAACCGGCTCATGTCGAGTCTAGTCACACCAACGGTGGACTGGTCCACCTGGTCCGGATCCGGGTCCGAGCCCCGGACCTGCCGCTGCAGGCATGAAGGTGTCCTTTCGCCCGAGGATCGCCGCGGAGACGACGGCCGGCTTCGCCGGCCGAGCGCGGAGACGACCCGTGGATTGAAAGGTCTGGGGACCCGAGCCTGCCGGCGAAGTAGACATCCAAACCAATCTACAACACATGACTTGCAACGTGTAACTTGACTTGCAACGTGAAAAAGAAAACTGGCCCTTAGGCAAAACAACTCAGCAGGGGGAGAAGCCACCTGTCGTGACTGAAGCTACGAGTACACTGGATATGACTGGATAACCAGGCAAAAGGCTTCAACTTCTTGCAGGAAACACTACAAAAGTCAGTCACTGGCTTAATGGTGAAGACTTTCCCGCGGGCTGCTGTATATGACATCTTTGGCTTCAGCAGCCTTAAAATCGACCAACTTCTGACTTGACCTTGACCTTCCACCTCAGGGGCGCTCCCCACCTGCTCCAAGCACACCGACCGGAAGCTGCCCTGTGTCAGCTGCGCCAGCCCCTGCAAAACCCTGGGCACGGTCGCAGAGGTCTCGAGACCCGGACGGAGCGAAGAAAAGGGGGACCATATCTATATACCATATCTATCCCTAGGGCTCCAAGTACCTTCTGAGAAGGTGTTTGGGGTGGGTTTAGAGGGTCCAAATACCTTCTGAGGAGGTACTTGGAGCCCTAGGGTATACCAAGTCGGACCTCTTGGGGTTGTAAATCAATGGTGCTTGGAAATGGATACCCTACACCTCCAGTCGTACCTCCTCAGAAGGTGTTTGGACCCGAACATGGCACCCACCCCAGTCCCACCTTCGAAACGAAGGTACGACAGGAGCCCTGGGGTATACCATGAATGCCTATGCATTGAACCCCTTAACATCCCCTAACCCCAAAAATATGGCCAACATACCAGGACCCTGTCGGGGTGTCTAATTATCGCCCCTTAGCCGTTAAGGGTTGTCCATTAACCACCCCTTGAAGGCCCTGGTATGGCATACAAACAAGGAGTGTTGGGGCATTTTTCCAGCAATCCAAGGTCATGGCATAGAAGAGAATGCCCCGTGGGGCAACGAAGGCCAGCGCATCAGCCAAACGATGTCCAGCAGATGCCAGGCATTTCGCGGAACATGTGAGAAAGTGGGCATGGCCAGCAAAAATGCCGCACTCGACCTGATGCATTTACCCACCACACTGACCACGATGTCGTGTTCTTCCAACACCTTTCTGCTGGCAAAAATGGGCCCAACTCTAGTGACTAGTGTGCCCAGGAGAGGCTGGTGGGTTCAATGGGTCTTTAGGAGATCAGATCCGGTGGATTCTGTATAACTCAGTCTATATACGGCATATAATGATATATATACTGTATATATATGTATATATATTGTAGAAATTCTATGTTGCCCCTCTCTCTCTCCTTCCACTCACCCAACTAGTGCAGTAGCATGCTCTTTCATGGGACGGAGATGGAAGTTGATCAGCCAAATAGCCAGATCCACATGAGCCATGCCCCTAATTAGCCACGAAAGCCATGGCGGCTCCATGCCCCATCCTTCGCGTCTGACGGGACGCTCTCAGCGCCCCGCCTTTGCTTCGTCCTACCAGGTACGCAGTTGATGCCCACCTGAAAGGCGACCGACCGCGCGGGGGTTGAAGCCGGGTTGAAGACCGAAGACGAAGACCACGCCACCAGGTTGACGGGGAAGAGATTCATGTAACTGTTTTTCACGTGGGACCCATATGGGTGGGCAAACAACTGTTACACATTGGTGACATGTTCCGACTTCAACCATGCCCATTATGGAGACTGGCGACTTCAAAGCCAACACCTGCAGTCCATGATCCC